TAAGCTTCCTGTGACCAGGGAAGGTAAAAACATGTGCTATCTTAAGTTCGACGCACGCACGCGCGCGTGACAACAGCAGTAACAACACGCGCACGTAAGAATGTAATTTCCCTCGCAACAACAATATAGCAATCGGAGGTTGGGGGGTGCGATCGAAATTTAACGGAGAGCCCCCCTACCGGGAAATCGATTTCGGTTTCGTGTTCGTGCGTGCCGCGCGGGCGAGGCGAAGCTGCGTGGGCGGGCGAGAGAAAGTCTCCTGTGGCTGAGGCGCGGCCGGACCCAATGATTCCCTTCCGGGCGGCCGGGGCCCCGCGGCGCCCCGCCGGTGTCCCGCTGGTGTCCCGCGTGGCTGAGGCGCGGCCGGACCAAATGATTCCCTTCCGGGCGGCCGGGGCCCCGCGGTGCCCCGCCGGTGTCCCGCGGTGTCCCGCGGTGTCCCGCAGCGCCCCGCGGTGCCCCGCCGGCGCCCCGCGGTCTCCCGCGAGGATGATGATGATGATGGGATGAAGATGATGATGATGATGATGATGATGATTATGATGATGATGAGATGATGATGATGATGGTGTCCCGATGAAGATGATGATGTTGATGATGGTGCCGATGATGGTGATAGTGTCCCGATGATGAGGATGAGGATGCTCATGATGATTATTTTGATAAGGATGACGATGATGGTGTCCCGATGATGATGATGATGATTCCGATGATGTTGGTGATGATGATGTTGATGGAACTGGTATCCCGACGATAATGATGTTGATGATGATTTTGATGATGCTTATGGTGTCCCGATGACGATGCTGATGATGATGATGGTGATGATGATGATGGTGAAGCTGATGGTGTCTCGAAGATGATAACAATGATAATGACGATGATGATGATGATGTTGCTCATGATGATGAAGGTGCCCCAATGATGATGATGATGTTGTTGACGATGATGCGATGATCACGATGATGATGGTGTCCCGAGGATGATGACGATGTTGATAATAATGTTGATGATGAGAACGATGGTGATCATGATGGTGTCCCGATTATGATGATGATTCTGATGATGCTGCTGATGATGATGACGACGACTGTGCCCCGGTGACGACTGGTCCACGGGGCCTGGGCGCGGGGGCGGGGGGTGCCCCGTCTCTGCGCGCCGCGCAGCGGCCAAGCGCCCAACCGGCGGTCCGCCAAGCCGCCTTAGCCACGTTCTTCACGTCGCCAGTCGCGTTGGGGCCTTTTTCTTCACGCGGTCTGACAGGTGAGATCTTCACAGTCTGTCCGCCGTCCGTAGCTTCAGACGCAATGCGCCGGGGGAGGGGGCCTGTCGCCCGCCCTCGTATCTTAAGGCTGCACCGCCGCTAATAGTGTTTTGCGAGTTGTCGCACCGCAGTGCGCCTCGCGGACGGACCCTGGTCCGCCTACTTGTCCGCTCTCTCTCTCTCTCTCTCTCTCTCTCTCTCTCTCTCTCTCTCTCTCTCTCTCTCTCTCTTCTCTCTCTCTCTTCTCTCTCTCTCTCTCTCTCTCTCTCTCTCTCTCTCTCTCTTTCGCTCTCTCGCTCTCTCTTGCTCTCTCTCGCTCTCTGTCGCTCTCTCTCGCTCTCTCTCTCTCTCTCTCTCTCTCTCGCTCTCACTCGCTCTCTCTCGCTCTCTCTCGCTCTCCCTCGCTCTCTCCCGCTCTCTCTCTCTCTCTGCTCTCTCTCTCTCTCGTCTCTCGCTCTCTCTCTCTCTCTCTATCTCTCTCTTCTCTTCTCTTCGCTTCTCTTCTCTCTCTCTCTCTCTCTCTCTCTCTCTCTCTCTCTCTCTCTCCCTCTCTCTCTCTCTCTCTCTCTCTCTCTCTCTCTCTCTCTCTCTCTCTCTCTCTTCTCTATCTCTATCTCTCTCTCTCTCTCTCTCTCTCTCTCTCTCTCTCTCTCTCTCTCTCTCTCTCTCTCTCTCTCTCTCTCTCTCTCTCTCTCTCTCTCTCTCTCTCTTCTCTCTTCTCTCTTTCTCTCGCCTGTCTCCTCTCTCAACTCCCCCTCTCTCTCTCTCTCTCTCTCTCTCTCTCTCTCTCTCTCTCTCTCTCTCTCTCTCCTCTCTCTCTCTCTCTCTCTCTCTCGCTCCTCTCTCTCTCTCTCTCTCTCTCTCTCTCTCTCTCTCTCTCTCTCTCTCTCTCTCTCTCTCTCTCTCTCTCTATCTTCCTCTCTCTCTCTCTCTCTCTCTCTCTCTCTCTCTTCCTCGCTCTCTCTCTCTCTCTCGCTCGCTCGCTCGCTCGCTCGCTCTCTCTCTCTCTCTCTCTCTCTCTCTCTCTCTCTCTCTCTCTCTCTCTCTCGCTCGCTCGCTCGCTCGCTCGCTCGCTCGCTCGCGCTCGCGCTCGCGCTCGCGCTCGCGCGCTCTCTCTCTCTCTCTCTCTCGCTCTCTCCCGCTCTCTCTCTCTCTCTCTCTCTCTCTCTCTCTCTCTCTCTCTCTCTCTCTCTCTCTCTCTCTCTCCTCTCTGCTCTCTTCGCTACTGGCTTCTGACGGAGTCTGGGTTAGGTGAGCCTGAGTGTGGGTGAGTCTGAGTATGGGTACGTCGGTGTGTGCCTGACTCTGAAGAAATGACTCCGAGTGTGAGTGAGCTTGTGTATGAGTGAGTCTGGGTGCGAGTCTGAATCCCAATGGTGCCCCTGGCAGTGTCTGGCGACTAGGAGGCCCGGGTCGACTCCACTTTGGGAAGCCAAAGATGCTGCCCCTGGCAGCGTTTGGTGACTATGAAGCCCCTGGTGGACCCCCCCTGGGGCTCCCAAATGATGCCCCTGGCAGCGTTTTGCGACCATGAGGCTCTCAAGAGATACATGGTGGGGGCGCCAAACGGCAATTCTAGTTGAGACGTCCCACCAAAATCGGCGCGAACGGGCTCGTGAGATCAGCCAGGGTGGCTCCCCCTTGGGGCTCCCGAGTGATGCCCCTGGCAGCGTTTTGCGACCATGAGGCTCTCAAGAGATACATGTTGGGGGCGCCAAACGGCAATTCTAGCTGAGAGGTCCCACCAAAATCGGCGCGATCGGGCTCGTGAGATCAGCCAGGGTGGCTCCCCCTTGGGGCTCCCAAATGATGCCCCTGGCAGCGTTTTGCGACCATGAGGCTCTCAAGAGATACATGTTGGGGAGGCCAAACGGCAATTCTAGCTGAGACGTCCCACCAAAATCGGCGCGAACGGGCTCGTGAGATCAGCCAGGGTGGCTCCCCCTTGGGGCTCCCAAATGATGCCCCTGGCAGCGTTTTGTGACCATGAGGCTCTCAAGAGATACATGTTGGGGCGCCAAACGGCAATTCTAGCTGAGACGTCCCACCAAAATCGGCGCGAACGGGCTCGTGAGATCAGCCAGGGTGGCTCCCCCTTGGGGCTCCCAAATGATGCCCCTGGCAGCGTTTTGTGACCATGAGGCTCTCAAGAGATACATGTTGGGGCGCCAAACGGCAATTCTAGCTGAGACGTCCCACCAAAATCGGCGCGAACGGGCTCGTGAGATCAGCCAGGGTGGCTCCCCCTTGGGGCTCCCAAATGATGCCCCTGGCAGCGTTTTGTGACCATGAGGCTCTCAAGAGATACATGTTGGGGCGCCAAACGGCAATTCTAGCTGAGACGTCCCACCAAAATCGGCGCGAACGGGCTCGTGAGAACAGCCAGGGTGGCTCCCCCTTGGGGCTCCCAAGTGAGGCCCCTGGCAGCGTGTTGTGACCATGGGGCTCTCAAGAGATACATGTTCGGGGCGCCAAACGGCAATTCTAGCTGAGACGTCCCACCAACATCGGCGCGAACGGGCTCGTGAGAACAGCCAGGGTGGCTCCCCCTTGGGGCTCCCAAATGATGCCCTTGGCAGCGTTTTGTGATCACGAGAGAGTGTGAGTGTGAGTGAATGTGACTGTGAGTGAGTCTGAGTGAGAGTGAGTCTCATCTTATCTTAATATTACCTTATCATATATTGTGCTATCTTATCTTATCTTGTAGTATCTTATCTTGTCTTGTCTTATCTGGTGATTATCATTGGGAGGAGGGAGGCGCGAGCGGGAGGAAAAAGGAGGAGGAGGAGTGGGAGGCGTCAGAGTAATAACAAGAACCCCAATCCTTAGGATATGGTGAATTACAACACGACAGCAACAACAAAGACAACAGCAACAGCAACGAAGCAAACATAAGTCTTACCACGAATTCCTTATTTAGCCACGCGCCCAGGGACAATTAATGACCGTTCGGCCCCCTCATTATGAATTATATTTACATATCTATATACACATCTGTATACATGTATCCGTATATAAATGTATCCCCGAAGATGAGGAGGAGCAGGATCAGGAGGAAGAAGGAGAGGATGATGAGTAGGAGGAGGAGGAGCAGGTAGCAGGAAGACGATGACACGAAGGAGGGGCATATGTGCTGCTCCTCCCTGGTAGAGTTGTCTGAGTTTTCTCGCTTCTGGGGCCTTCGCCTTTCCCCAGCCCTGGGACCGTCGAGTGATGTCTGCGGATGCCACGTCGGAGAGGACCGAGGGGGATGAGCGGGCAAGAGTTCAGTAGGAGGGAGGCTTAAGGATTGGTGAAGGATATAGAGCGGATTACTGATTCATGTTTGTTTCGCGGGGCGATCTAGGAAAAGGTGGAACGAACTGTCCAGCAATTGTCCTTCAGACTCCGTTCGACGTGTTGCCGTCTCCCATGTCGTCCCCAGTCCCAGAAGAAAGCGGGATGGATAAATATAAGATGAGATTGAGGAGGAGGAGGAGGAGGCGGGGAGAAAAATGTATCAGCAGCCAGTCTGAATGCAACTGCCTGGTTGGGCACGCAGGAGCACGGTGAGGAGAACGAGACGGACCAGGCAGCATGGAGCGGGGAGGAGAGAGGAGGGGGAACGGGCTGGAGGCGGGCGGGGGCGCAGGAGGACCAGAGGGGAAATAGGGAGAGTGGGGGCAGGGGAGGGAGAACGATGAGGCTGACCTTGCCGTTTCTGATGGTATTGTGCCGGTGGTGGGGCTCCAGCCAGGCCCTGATGGTCGATGCGGGCGTCAGCTGGACCGTGCGCAAGCTTGCTCAGGGTGCTGGTTACGGCGCCGGCATCGTGAGGCCTGAAGGGAGGACACGTCAAAGGAAAAACATCAGCATAAGCAGAAAACTTCCGGAGCTCCGCGCGGATCCTTTGGATCGGCGCTGGCCCACCCTGGCGGTGCCTCTGGCGCCGCCCATGGCGCGCTCCGCGCGCCAAGGGGGGGGGTCCAGCGCCGCTTCAGGAAATCACAACGGACCTCTGACATATTATGTTTCTGACATTCTTTGTTCCTTGAAAGGGTCAGCGGGGGAGGAGGAGGGGGACAAGGAATAGGAGGTGGAATATGAGCAGGGAGAAGAGGGGGAAGGAGAGGGCGGAGGGGCGTGAGGAGGAGGAGGAGTAAGGTAGGATGAAGAGGGAGAGCGAAAGAAGGGTGGAAGGGGTAGAGGGGGGCAAATATGAGTCTGACTCCGACCCTCTTGTTCGAATGCCTCCTTGTGTGAACGCGTGTTGGAATCTTCCAGTCGGCTTCTCTCAAGCCAGCACGTCGCCGAATCATTATCATCCGTAAAGGCTTCGCCCTCTGCCTGCCTTCTCTCCATGAGAATTCAGAAAATGGTATGCCAGAGCGAAGCCGGGATGCCCGGCTGGTCAGGATAGTGGCCTCGAGGGCGCGAATGTGGGGTAATTTGATTGGGGCCGTTGCCTCGGGGGCGCGAATCTGGAGTAATTGATTTGGATTGTGGAATCGGGGGCGCGAATCGTTACGTAAATATCCCAATGCGACCCTACTTAGGAGTTGGAGCCCCTAGGAAAGCATCATAAGTTAAGCTAAGCTAAGCTAGGCTAAGCTAAGCTAAGATAGCTAAGCTAAGCTAAGCTAAGCTGGGATAAGCTAAGCCAAGCTAAGCTAAGCTAAGATGAGACACGCTAAGCACAGCTGAACGACGTTAAGCTAAGCTAAGCTAGACTAGGCTAAGCTAAGCTAAGCTAATATGAGCTAAGCTGAGCTGAGCTAAGCTAGGCTAGGCTAAGCTAAGCTAAGCTAGGCTAAGCTAAGCTACGCTAAGCTAAGATGAGATTCGCAAAGCTAAGCTAATATAACCTGAGCTAAGCTAAGGTAAGCTAAACTATGCTAACCTAAACTAAGCGAGGCTAGACTAAGCTAAGCTAAGGTGATATAAGCAAAGCTAAAAGCTAAGCTGAGCTGAGCTAAGCTAAGCTACGCTAGGTTAGGCTAAGCTAAGCTAAGACGAGATAAGCTAAGCTAAGCTAAGCTAAGTTAAGCAGGGACGCAACTGGGGGAACCGCGGGGCGGATGCCGGGGGAACCGGAGGCGGATCCTGGGGGAACCGCCCTTGGCGATATCCACTACCCTGCCCCTTTAAGCCAACAGAGTAAGAACCCTTCTAGGCAGAGCCTAGGTAGGGAATTTGAAAGGGCTCGAAGCCTCGGGAGCGCGAATCTTGCGCTAATTCCATGGGATCGTAGCCTGGGGGTCGCGAGTGCGGCGTAATCCAAGAGGGGTTCAGAGATCGTGTCCTCGGGAGTGCGAATCTGACGTAATTTGCACGGGAACGTGGCCTCGGGGGCGCGAACATTGTGTAATGTACATGGGGTCGCAGCCTAGGCAGCGCGAACCTGGTCTAATTTCTGTGGGATCGTGTCCTCGGGGGCGTGAACCTAGTGCAATGTACTAGGGATTGTGGTCGCGGGGGCGAAGATCTTGCGTAACTTGCAAGGGATTGGGGCCTCGGTGGCGTGAACCCTGTGTAGTTTGGAAAAGATTGCGGCCGCGTGGGCGCCACCACAGTGAAATGCAAAAAGGATCGTGGCTTAGGGGGTGCGAATCAAGTGTAAGATGCGAAGGATTGTGGCCGCGGAGGCACGGACAGCAATGAGTACAGAAGAGCAGCAACAGTACCAAGCACCAGTGAGTGAGAAAGAAGCAGGGGAGCGCCAGTGCAAAGAGGTGGGGGCACCAGTCACAGCAGGACATGGATCAGCCCAAGCAGCCCAAGGTCAGCCTGGAACATTTCTTAGGATCCCAGTTGGGCCCTAGGGGCCCTCGGGGGATCTTTCGGGATCGAGGCTGCGAGGCTCTTCCTGGGATCTCATGTGTACCTTTCGGTGGCTCTTTCTGCCGCTTTCCGAGTCTCGCCATTTCTGGAGAGCCTACAATATCACCTCTTGTGGCCCACTTGGAGCTCCCTCGGGGTGGTCTTGAAGACCGTTGAGGCCCTCTTTGGGCCGTCTTGGGCCCGTCTAGGGGCCCTGCTTGGGCCATCTCAGGCCCCCTTGATGCCTCAGCTCACCAGACGACTAACATGTTCCAGGCAGAAGCCATCGAACACGTGTTCGTTGAATGGTGCATCTCGGAAGAATCATTTTGAATTTCGGGAGCCATTTCAGAATCATCTCGATCTTGAACGGAGATCCCGAGAGGCGAATCTGCGCTGCGTAATCCGCCGCCGCCTTGGCCCAAGGCGTCGGCACCACACATGCCGGTCTGCTGTCCGTAGACTCATTATGCGGTGTGTGTGTGTGTGTGTGTGTGTGCATGGCGTTCTCCCGCTCGACTGCCCTTGCGCCGCGCCGCTGTGCGAGTGGACGCGACGTCAAGAAGTGTGTGTGTGTGTGTTTGCGTGTGCACGTGTGAGCGTGGAGAAACGTATTTGCGCCTCGTCCCCGAGTTTTCGGTATGTATCCTGGGCCCAGTTTCCTACGTTTGAATGCCTCCTCTGGTTTTCGTGGAGCACGGTTGGAGGCCATCCGTGCCAATGTAGGCCACCCCCCCTTCATTGTTGAGGTCATCTTGGGCGGTCTGAGGACTCTGCGGTGACCGTCAGTTCAGGTCCTAAATTGATGATCGCCGAAAAGTTTTCAGACTGCGAACTCCACATGTCCTATGGGCTTCTTGTCATTAATTAGACACCCTCGGACTTCACCCCTCCTCTTCTTTTCTTCACTCAGACCACTTACATGCTCAGGCTTTGATAATTCACGCCCAACTCATACTCACATCACTCGTCCATCTCACTCGCATCAGACTCAGACTCATTCGTACTCGGAATTACTCATTTCTGAATTGATGTATCCTCAAAGTCACCTTTCCACACTCAGACTCAGTCCTAACATGATTTCGCCTTGTTTCGCTCACACTCAGGTTCACTCACGTGAAGACTCACTCGCACTCAGCCTCATTCAGAATTTCTCACACTCAGACTCTCTCTTTCTTTCGGTGGCCCTTTGATCACTGCGATGTAGCGGGCGTGGCACTCCAGCACCCCAAGGAGGAGTTGGCAGGGGTGGGAACGCTCCAGGATTGGCACCCGAACTGTGGGGATGTCTCTGGCGATTTCCCTGGTTCTGCCCCCAAGACCTTTCTCTTTTTGGTGGTTCACTGCTCACCGCGATGTTGAAGGCGTTGCACTTCGGCACCCCATGAGGAAGCCGGCAGGGGTGGGAACACAGGATTGGCACCCAGATTGCGGGGATGTTTCATGTGATTTCCCTGATTCAGCTCCCAAGATTCTATAGGCTTACGCCACATCCGCCGACCCCTTTTTTTCGCCGCGTGGTCGTTATCACGGCTTCTTTGCAAGCTGCGGGAAAGATTCAGGTGGTGACCTTGAACTGTGTTCGGGTGCTGTTGGGCGGGCCGTCGCGCATGGGCGCCGTTTGGGGGGCCCTGTCGCGGGGGGTATCAGGCATGCACGGGGTGTTTGGGGGTTCTCTCCGAGGGTTCCGTGGTCGTCCTTGGGGCTTTTCGGGTGGTGGAGTCGGGGCAGTACGTTGCACGCCGGTGACATCTCAAGGGTGTCGGCGGATGCCGTCCGGGAGTACTGTGGAGTATCATGGTCGGAGTTTTTCGGGTAGTGTGTTGCCAGGTGACGAGGATGGTCCTGCTGACACGACGGCGACCATGACGACGATGGTGATGCTGCTGATGATGACGATGATGACGACGTTAATGACAATTGCGACGACGATGAGGAAGATGATGGTGATGATGATGGTGGTGGTGATGATGATGATGGGGAGGATGAAGATGAGGGTGAGGATGAGGATGAGGATGACGAGGAAGAGAAAGAGGAGGAGGGAGGAGGAGGAGGAGGAGGAGGAGGAGGAGGAAGAGCAGCAGGATGAGGAGGAGGAGGGGGGAGGGAGGGGGAGGAGGAAGAGGAGGAGGAGGAGGAACGATGATGAGGTGGAGGAGGAGGAGGGGGAGGAGGGATGAGCAGGAGGCAAAGATTGACAGTATGGGCCACGGGCCCCCGCGACAGGTTTTGTCGCGTTGTCGGGGGCATTCGTTGCCTTGGCTGGACGCGGCTCGAGTGTGTCTTGTGATGTGAGGCGGCGCTTGGCCCGTTCTCATTGATCAAGGCACAGGCGCGAAATTGTTGGTCAACCATTTCGTTCCTTCTGCGACAGGGTTTCCCGTTCCGTTTTGGGCACGGTCCGTTTTGGGGGTCGGCGGTGCGGGGAGCGCTGTCTCACGTCTCGCATGCGGTGAGCGCGTTGATCTCTTTCAGCAAGCGGTGTCCCAGAGCTGATGGGACAAAGGGGGGGCAGGAGTCTGGCTGGGGCCACATTCATGACAGTGTCAGACACGAGTGGAAAGCAATTGGAGAAGTGCTTGACGCGTCCCGTGCCCCAACCAGCTCATCTAGAAACGATGCCCATACGAGTTGGCGCGATCAGGCAAGTGCGGGAGCAAGGAGGGGCAGCCGTTATCATTCGAAGCGGGAAGGTGATGGAGGAGGGAGAAAAGAGAGGGAAGGGGAGAAGGCACACAAAGAGGAGGTTGGCGAACAGAAAAGCCAGTGGTTTACTGGATGCATGGAGGTTCTTGGGACATCTCTTGAGGGCTTTCGGGGAGCCTACTCAGGCATCTTGGCGACTTCTCCGCGGTTCAGGTGACATTTTGAGCCGCTTGGCAGCTCGGGGGGACCCTTTCGGGCCCCTTTGTTGCCTCTTGGTAGCTTCTTTGGTGCGTTTTCGGCGCCTCTTGAGGTTTGTTTTGCAATGTTTCTGGGGGTCGCGTTGGTCCTCTTGGGGCGATCATGTACGACAT